ATCAGTAGGACAGCAAGAAACAAACGTGAACAGCCAAAAATTGCCTTACAGGATGGTACAGCATGCTAACAATCCTCTATAAGGGTGTAAGTAACTCAAATGTTACTTATTCTGTAGTTATTGAATGTTGTTATAATTCTAATTCATTACTTAATGTATAAGTCTGTCATGTATTAATGTTTTATGCTTTTAATTTCGTGATTTAACGTAAATCGGAAGTGCTTTATTTTGAAGGGACATCGGACAAGATACAGAAACTGAAAAAATGTAACAGTAGATGCAAACGGTAAAGTAACACTAATGGTAAAGTAACGGTTAAGTTAAGAGACAAAACAAAACATAAAAGGGCAAATGGGAGAGATTAATGAATTTAGCGGCAGAGGAGAGGGCAACAAGGTAAAACTTTAATTGTGTCTAATTGTCAATTTATTTTATGTTTAGTGTGGGCTAATATTTGCAATGTGCTTCACTAAATTCAATGTGTTGATGTTGTGTGTTTTTGTCTCGCTCTTACGTTGGTTGTAGGAGAAAAGGAGTAAAAGTGTTCAACCATCAGTCCAGGCTTGGACCGCTGAGCCGCTACAAAGGGTGAATGTAGCTTCATTTTGTGACATGATTCTGCTTGGAAAATATAGGATCCAAACACCAAGCCTGTGTTTATGCAGCAACCTTGAAGTATTGGTATATATGAATTATGCATGATACCAGCAAGTGTTTTTTTTTTTTTTTAATGTGGACTAACTGTTGCATGATCTAAAGCAAATTACGTAAATAGCATGAAATGTTTTCCTGTTGAGTCAAGCCTTCACACTGGGAAGCATCTCTAATGCCGAAGTGTCCTTGAGCAGCACCGCGAGAGGCTCTCAGGAGAAGGTTCAATAAACAATCACGTCATTATGTTCACGAGCTTCACAAGCCGCTGCTGTTCCTTATTTTCTCTCTGTGTCTTTCTGTCTGATGAGGTGGAGGAGCGGTGGCTACAGGACAAGTCTGGACATGAAGTTACCCCCCTTCCCTCCTTCCCCTTCGTCCCCAAATAATTCCCTCTCCGTTCCCTTCGTCCCTCCTTCGTTCTCTCATTTTCAGAAAACCACAGACCCGCTCTGGAGGTTTCCATGACAAACAATACTAATTAGGGATCATTTTCCTTTTTGCTTTTTTTTTTCTGTGATGTCTGGCGAGAGTGACGTCTGTTAGTGTGTGTGTTAGAGCGTAAGAGAGAAAGCCGCAGAAGGGAAGTACTGTTAAGTCTCTGTTTTGATATTGAGCCTGAGATGATTAGACAGACAAATAATAAAGCTCAAATAATTGCACATCCAATGACAGCTACGGCGGAGTTCAAAGGGAAATAAGTGACCGAAACATACACCTTTCTTACGTAGAGTTAAGAGTGTTTGTATTGAGCTTAATGCAGCTAAGAATGCAATATAACAAGTCTTATGGGGCTTTCAGGAACTTTTTTCTGCAGCTGCGGATTGGCAGCGGCGGGATGCAACGCCACCGCTGGCTACTTCTGATCCTACTGGCCTGTACGGGCGGCTAAGTTGAGTGGGTTGAAGCATAAAGTAAATGAAAGGAAATAGTTAGAAATGTGGCCTGTTTCACATGGAGAGTTTAGTCAAGTTGTGTGAAACATTAAATCAGACTTATGTTGCTCCAACAGTGCTTCTTGCCATTGGTGTAGCTTTCTGATGATGAGATGGCTGATGAACTCAACATCAGCTCCTTTACATCTTATCGTTCTCTCAACTACATGAAGCAGGTTTTAAAAAGTTGAATCGATCATGAACTCGACATTCCATTTGAAAATAGCCGAATGCTTTTACAAGAGCAGCAATCACCCTGTGAAAATAACACAAGTAGTGGTAGCAACAGCTTTCTGACTGAAGGCCTCTTTATTAGGATAGGATCTAGTACAAATACCCAAACTTATTAAGTTCATCAGTACTGCCATGATGTCCCCATTCCAAAATAAATACTTTATTTTTTATGTCAAACTGTCCCACATCACATGTCACCATTTCACAAAAACTCAAATTCATTCACTGGTTCACCAAACCCTAAAAACATAAAAATGTCCATTATCAGGAAAGAAAACAAGTGGAATCTGCATCTAATCTTGATCATAAAAATGAGGAATTCTGATCTTTTCCAGTCTAATTCACTGTCAAAATGTTTTTATCTGGAACATTTCGAACACAACAATAGCTGGTTCGGTTTATGCACACATGGCGAGCACATACTACAATGCACTGCTCAGCCGTGCGCTGGCTTTCAGCTGTGTTATGTGGAAATTTAGGTGTTATTTGATATTGCTCAGCATATGGACGTTGAGGCTGATTTATCAAGAACTGAACAGTGCTGCAAATTAAAACACATTATTAGGGCACAAGGGCTTGTTATAAACCTAATATCCATACTTGTGGGTGTGAAAGCTATATATCTACGCTCAGAGAACACAGGCTGGCACTGACACACTCACCGGCAATGTGTGTGTGTGTGTGTGTGTGTGTGGATGTATATGTATATGTGTGCGTATCTAATGATCCCTGTGTCGCCTTCTCTGTGTCTCCCACACCTCCCCTTCTCATTAGTGGTGACGCCTGAGTGGATTAACCGCACACGTGCACACACACACGAGCACACGAACACACACACACACACACACACCTACATATACATACATACACACACACACACACAGGCAGACAGCGACCGCTAACGAAAGCAGAGCCCATCAAAGAGAATCTATCCACCCCGGTTTAGGAAAGACAAACTGTCATAAAACACGGATTTGTCCTCAATGCAAACCAGAAGCCCCTTTCTGGCAGGAGACTGGGTCAGGGTGTGTGTGTGTGTTGTGTGTGTGTGTGTGTGTGTGTGTATGAGACAAAGCCAAGAGAACCAGAAAACAATATGCATTTGTTGTATGTGTGTATAGGCCATGTGTGTGTGTGTGTGTGTTCCAGTGATCTGCTTATCATATCTCAGATTAAACTAATCTAATAAATAACCAAAAGGGATACAAAGTGCAATAAAGACAGACAGAAGGAAAAGGAGGTGTCGACCCACTTGATTAGAGAAATAAATACACACAGCTCTGCTAAACGATAACATATCTCTTCTTCTAACTTGATATCTCGTTAATTCTGGCGGACAGAAGGACAGATCGAGAGCAGAGCCAAATGAAAACATAGGCAGAGTGAGAACGAAACACAGCAGACACCCAGTGGAGGATGAGAGTGTGGTCCAACTCCCCAAACGGAGTAACAGTGAGTGCAGACTTGGCAACTGCAAGCCAACAATGGTGGACACACTCCCAATTCTCCCCTCACGTTGAAGGAAAACACTATCTATAGCAATAACACTGTGATAATAAAAGGGTGTCCTTCGCTGTGATTATGGCTACAATAGACAGAAGCAGTCAGATATACGACACGGATCAGCGCACTGCAGTAATCACATATTTCCAGGAAAGAACATCTTAGAGGATATTATAGGTTTGGGTGAAACCTCCTTAGATAATGGAAACAAAATAAAGCCATTTACATGTAATAAGCTGCTTCAGGTATTGGTTTAGGATGTCAAGACTTTATTCCAATACCACTTTGATTAACTTGAGTGGCATGTGTAGACTTAAGCAGATTATATTTACAATAAATTAGATTTCTTTGTCCCCTATTGATCTCACACTGAATATTCTTAAAGGTAAAATGTTCCATGTCTTTTGGCGAGATAAGTCAGAATTACTCAGGCACACAGATGGAGGGAGACCACTGATCCCCAATGATTTAACACATATATTCACTGTCAACTATTTTACAGGAACACCCACAACAATGACTCAACAAAGCTGGAAAGTTTGATAAAACAAGAACACATTTTTGTGTAATGATAAAACTTCTGGGAACGCACCATTAAAGTGTTAACATCAGCTGTAACACTAGTAACAGCACCTAAAAAGTTGTTGGTACAGTGAGCTGCTGTCTTTAGTTGAGTCAAAGAAGAAAGCAAAGTTACAGGGGAGTTTTTTTCTTAGTTTTTAATGAACAAAACTTGGTGTATCACCTCTTCTTGTTCACTGTTTTAATATCTAGTATGGCCAGCATCAAGGGCAAAACGTAGAAATGACTACTTACATTTATAATAATCACAAACTGAATCAGTGATCAGACACTTCAGTTTCTTCAGTACTTTTAATAAGATACCTTAAGACCCAAAGTCTTTTCCTGGGCAACAATACCCATGTAGACCGGATGAGAAAACTGGTAGAATCCCTCCGATATATCAGCAAGAGAAGAGAGCTGGTACACTGTTTCATCAGAAAAGTGCTGCCATAATTAAAAAGCAAAGGTCCAGTTAGGGATGACAACCCTACCTGCCAGTCCAGAGGCACTGTACCCAAGCACATTTTAAATTTCACCTGCCTATTTCCACGAAACAAACCGATTTGCCTGTAATTCAGTAAAAGGGCGGCATTTTGTGTTGCTGCAAACTCAGCAGAGGCCATCAACGAGAGACTTCATCCATACACCAAAAACCAATGCACACCAACGCTGGATACGCAAAACCAACTTCACTGTTTGATTTCATCTTGTGGCAATGGATAGAATCCAAACCGTGCAGATTCTGCACACGGCGAGTCCAACGGCAGGCAAATCGGTGCGTACAAATAACAGACGAGAAAGAAGACTATGCCGTGAGGGAAAATGGAGGTGGATTACAGACAGTGTGACAGACAGTGAACAGATATCAGTGTCAGGGCTCTGGTCAGGATTTAGTGACAAGCTGGGAGCAATGCTGCGGATGTACTGCTGGGGTGATGTATTCTGATACGCGCCGGTTGGAAATGTGACAAGGTGAAGGAGAGTCACTGATGAATCTCAGGGCTGGAGGATATTCAGCTCCAAATAGACGCACAAAGAAGGAGAGGAGCGAAGATGATAATACGGGACGGCGAAGAGGAGAGGAGAAAGATGAGGAGTTACAGGAACGCCTACCTTTCTTGACTTTCTTCGACGGCTGTTTCTTCTTGATGTATTTGGTCGCCTCCTGTTGAAGTTCCATGTCCTCCCCATCTCCAGTCACCTCTGCTATAGGCTCAACACCCCCTGAGTGAAAGGTAGAGAGAATCTGTCAGCAAATTGGGTGCTATATACACAATGATATGATAAAAACTCAACAAGTGCTTTCTTTTATTGTTAGAAAAGGCTTTTTTCAACAAAGGTATGCTCAGAGGTGCTCAGGGTGATGACAGCCCTCTACAGCTGGCCAGTTAAAGAAAGCAGGCTTTTAAAAAAAACAGCTTTGCTTCTGGACATCTTGACAAAGTCAAACATTTCTCCACCAAGTTTTACTGACAGTTCTGGGATTTGCGCTAACAAGCTTGACGTGCCAAAGACTGCTTCTCCTCTGCAGTTTCTGTGTGCGTTGTAAAGCTAAAATTATACTTTCAAAAAGATTTTAAGTGAAAGTCTTGCCACATTTCACTGGCTCTACGTTGATACCTTAAGCTACAAAACCATTAGGTTTGCATAACAATGTAGTGGTAGGTTTGAACGCAAGACGCAGCAGTAAACCCACTTTGATTATGGGCATCTGAGATAATTAAACACCTCTGAAAACCTTTTTATTTTTTTTATTTCAGTGGAGTTTTTGCTTGGTATCACTTTTATGAGTTGGTTCTATTGGTACAGATCACCCCATGATTTACATACTTGTATGTTGTTTTGTATGCTGTTTCCAATATTCTACATTATAGGGCTCCGGTGGACAAATGTTCATTTCATTTAACCAGTTCTTTCTTCATAAATATGATCTAGGGGCTAAAGTTAAGGGTCACTCTTCTTGTAAAGTGCTAAATTCTATTATCATTGCTTCAGTTTGCCACTGCCTGGTGCTCAAACGCTAAAGGTCTGCCTCCCACCTGTCACGGCATTGGACGATTTCTGAAGAGCCAATGTGGTTTTTCACTATTTCCATTCAGAAAGCTGATGCTCCAACCACAAAAGCTAGCTCCCAGCCATAATCTTGCTGCACTTTTTCAATAAGTACAGCGCATAATGTTGGCCATATGATAATATTTCAGTGTTTCCCACGAGTGTGTGGCACAGCATGAAGGCCTATGCATGCAGGGACTCAGATCCCGAATACGCCACTATTGGGAGACACCGCAATTTATCGTTGTTCCCTGAAGGCCCCACATGCATTAGTAGATGCTACTAGATGGCTGGGCAATGCAGACAAAAATTCTGAAAGTTATAGAAGTGTGAAATCAGGTGTTCTAATGTCAGATTTAGTACCTGTCAGGTGCACTGGTGTGACCGATCAAATCTGAGCCCTCCAGTTTTTTTGTAATCTTGTCATCCATGCCAAGTCAAGTCTAGTTAGCTTTTATAGCACATTTAAAGACAAAAACAAAACACTGTCCAAGAGCTCCACAATGTCAGATGAATAAAACTAATTAAAATAAAGTCAATAAAAAAGATAAAACAATAAAGACACGACAAATGTGGTTGGAATCTAGTCAAAGACAAACTTTGAAGGAACAAAATTGCATCGTTAGAAGCAGGAACATATTTTTAAAAAAATGTTGGTGACTAAGCGAAGATTAGTTTTCTCCACCCTAAATAATCTGTGACTCAGCGTTCCGATCTAGACTGCTTGGTTTGGATGTTACTTCTGTTAAATCTTTCCAATTTCTTCCTTAACCACATTTCAAAATTACATTAGTCTCCTGCATCTACACCGGACTGTGTTTCTCATTGTGTTTGCATATATTTACACCAACATATATAAATCAAACGTACATCTTTTAGGATGTTTCAAAAAGGCTGAATAAAAAATAAATAAAAAAAAAATAGTGTTGAACATGTGGTTTGCAAGTGTGTGTGCGTGTAAACCTAGATGTGTGAGGGTGTGATTGTGTGTGTGTGATGAAATCCCTGCTAAAATCCCACGGATCAGTCTGGATTTAGGGAGCTCCTGAGGCCGATGAATTGGACGCCTTGTCTCTCTCCGTCCCACCTCTCTGTCTCCTTCTCTCCCCCCCTTTCCTCATTCCTCTTCTCCCCTCTCTGTCTCCTCTTCCTCTTTTTTTCTACACCACCTTGTCTCCATCTGCTCTTCATCCTCCTTTCCTCCCTCCTCATCCTTCTCTTCTTGCCTCCTCTGCCTCTTTGTGCCCTCTTCTTTCCTTCCCTCTTTTTCATCCCTCTTTTCTGTTTTCTGTCCTGCCTCCCTTTTCTATTTCTCATCCCCTCCCCCTCCATCACCTTTTTCCCATATTTTCTTCTGTCAATTGTTCCCTCCTTTTCTCCTCGTTTCATCCTTCACTTTCTCCTCATTTCCTCTGCTCCCTGAGGATTGTGTCCAGTTTCACGGTACTTTCATTTAATATGCGCTACACACATCGTGCCTTTGTGCTGTGTGTGTATGTGTGTGTGTTTGTGCATGTATGAGACAGAGCGTGCATGTGTGTGTCTGCCATCATGTCTACCTTAAGGTGTCTGAGAATGTGTGTGTGTCTCCATCTCCCCCACTGTGTCTACATCTGTGTGTGTGTGTGCATGCGTATGTGTGTGTGCAGATTATCCTAAGCCCTCTCTAATATTTATCCTGGCCTTTTTTTAAAGCCAATCTTGTTCTCTTTGGTGAGAGCACAGCCTGTGGCTTCAGACACACACACAGACATACACGCTAAATCACAGTTGTTTGAAATGGGATATGCCCCGCTCTTAATTGGGCAGGTGTTTTTCTAAGGCGAGTTGTTTTTTTTAACGCTGTCCTACAATTTCACGGGGAATGTGTGAATCTGTGTGTGTATGCGTGTGTTTTAACCTCATTCTTACATCAACATCAGGTAAGGAAATAGCCCACCTCTGGAGTAACTTAGTCTGAAACAAAATCACATCACACACAGACCGTCTCTTACCGCTGACCTCTCGTACATTCCTCCCCTCTCCCTCCTTCTCTCTCTGTAAACAGTAGGTGTCGTAGCGCTTGGTGTGTTTCCCTCGGCTGTGGTCAGATCTATATTTGTCTCACTGGACAGGTTATCAGATTCAGACTTAATACTAATAAAGGGGACATCTGGTCTGCTCATTTGCAGGTATGTGTTGTTACTCTGGGAATAGAAAAAAAATTCCTTTCTATCTCGTACTGCCTGTTATGCAGCCCTGCAGTTTAGCATCTGCCTGAAACAGGCGACATTAGCTGTGGGCTCTTTGTAGGTCCCTGACAGCCTACTTTCTTCTGATTGGCAGGCTTCATGGAAGCCTTTGCTTGTGAGCACCAACTAATCCTGCTGCTGGTGTGGACGTCCCAGAGGTAAACTGTAACATAGTAAAGTAATACTTTCAAATCCATACATGTGTGCCAGCCATATATATATTTTTGTCTATTTACACCCTTGTTCATAGGTGTACATTTGGGAAATGCTCTAAAATGCCAACGGAAGAGGAAAACATCGGGACGGCCCCTAACTGTCAGGTACTAAAGATAATGTAGTAAGTGAAAGATTACTACTCAAGCAAACTGCGTTGCGAGAACACGCGCGTACAGACAATTAGACAAAAGATAACCACAGTTGGTTTCATGGCCACGCTGTACGCGGTGTACACCACCATAAAAAGAAAAACTGACAACGGCTCAGTACAACAAAAGTAAACAATGGTGAGAAACCTTGGATTCAGAGCAGTCTGAAGCCTGAGCTTTAGTCTAACAGGATCAAGTTTACATACATTTACCATTAGTCAATTAATTTGGACAATGTTTAATGATATATACAAAAGCTAGACCAAATTGGCACCACTTGTTATCCTGCTAAATTGTGAGTTATTACAGTCACTAGAGCGAACAATTTGCTGGTTTAGACATCTTCCCTAGATGCCAGACGTTTCAGAAGAGCTCTGCCCACTTCCTTAAATTTCTCACAAATGAAGAGATAATGTAATTTTAGATCTACGCTGTTTGGTTAAGTCAAAAACTCTCGTCCATTTGTACGGTTAGAGGGTTTATTTAGGCTGGTTTGAAAGCTGTCAATCAGCACCGTCAGTGGACATGACCTCAGCATTTCAGAGATCACTGCTTATTTTTTCAAGATGATGAAACCCGATTATGTGTATATGTCCTGATTTTTTTTTGTCATTCAGATGTGACCAGGTGGTTGTTTTATGTGGCGACAATCTCCAAACACATACTTTTCATTGCTTTTCACAGACTTAAAAACAAGTGGTAGAAGAGGTACAACCAAACAGGAAAATGGCATGATATCAGTTTTACTGTTACTAGTGAAGCTGTAGAATCAGTGACACAGATTAGGTGTGACATTGGTGAGCTTTGCTATGAGCAGTAATAGTAGATGTATGTCAAATTGTTTTAAAACTGTTGGGCGTGAGGGGAACCGGTTTTAAGTTACTCTTTCAGCTGTTTCAAACTGTTCCAGGACCTACACCCTAAACTTTCCTGCATTCAGATTGACTTAAAAGTGTCCCAAAGTTTCTTCTAGCTATCAAAACTGCTTAAAATCTACACAAAATGTGTCAAAGGCTCAATAAGGGTTGTATAATCACTACACCATCGGTAGTCGTAATAGCAGATGTAGTGTAAGCATGAGAAGTATTAACAGTCGAAATAACGGTTATAGTATTCGATGATTAACTTGGAATGTATTCCAACTGCTGCAAAGTGATCCCGCGCTGGGAACGGGACATAAAAGCTGCACTTTCTCTGTTTCATAAGCTGAGAGTAAGCCATAACATTCTGCAGCGTGGTTGGCTCGTCCACCTGGTGAAGTCAGCATGAAACCTCAAGTTTCTGTTATTACACACTGTCTGTGCAACTCCTGGATCTGGACAGACAGCAGGTGTGCGACGAGTTTTGGACAACTTTGGAGAGTTAAGAGGTTTAGAGGCCACCTGCACATGTGTTTGGGTGGACAGTCTGGGACATGCGGAAACCATGTGCAGCTTGAGGCAATTTGAACATTTGCGGATCTGTTTGTATATAAATGGGGATAGCTGGGGTCAGTCAATGACAATTTGAGGAAAGCTTGAAGAAGGTTCAAGCCATTTTGTGACAATTTGGAATAATGCGGTATGGTGTGGGGCCA